TTACCACAGCATATTGTGGAGCTCTTGTGCCCTTTATATTGCTGGCACAGATTGTTTTTCAGCTTCTTCAGATTGGTAGCAATTATTGGATGGCTCGGGCAACTCCTGTGTCAGAGGATATCAAACCCTTAGTCAAGACCTCTACACTACTACTGGTCTATGTGGCATTGGCCATTGGAAGTTCTTTATGCATTCTTGCTAAAGCCATGCTTCTTAACACTGCTGCTTACAAGACAGCGACTTTACTTTTCAATAAAATGCATCATTGCATCTTCCGTGCTCCCATGTCTTTCTTTGATGCCACCCCAAGTGCGCGTATCCTGAGCAGGGTAAGCATCAGATGTTTCTTGGGATAATTTTAAATATGGTTTTAAAATTTTGATATTTTTCCTTATCAGTTTTTGTGAAACCCAAGAAGTTGTACTAATGTAATTAAACTTTCCCTTGTTGTAGGCTTCAAAAGATCAAAGTGCAGTTGATTTGAGCATTCCATATCAAGTAGGTGACGTTGCCTTCTCAATGATTCAGCTCCTTGGAATCATTGTAGTGATGTTTCAGGCTGCATGGCAGGTCTTTATTGTTTTTATCCCTGTGATTGCTACCTCTGCATGGTATCAGGTAGTCCTTTTAAACTCAACTATGCTGTTTTATCTTCCTTTTATTTATCATGTTTGCATACACCTTGTATACATTAAAACTACAGAAATCACTGTAAACCCTTCTCCAAGGGAAGATCACCTCTGTTCTACCTCATTTTGGAAAACTTGGCATTTCCTGTTTGTGTAGTTGTTAAGTATTCTAGTCAAGGATTATGATTCATTAAAAGAACTGGAGACTTTTGATCAAGCATAATGTTTTTTGCTATCAGATCCAAAGGACCTTTCCAGGACGTTTTCTTATTGTTGGTAATAAGAAGAGATACTGCAACCATAGTTAAAGCAAGTTATTATTATGCTGTTGTCGTTCCTCATGCCTTACTCATCTCGTGTGTGTGAATATTAAAATGCACTCTATAACAGTGGCTCATATTATTTGGTTAAATTGATGCTGAAAGAATAAAAAATGTTAGTTCCGGTGACATCTGAATGAAAATCTTTGTCTCTGTGCTCATGTTTTCATGGGGTTGTTGATTTGCTGTGTTGTTCATTTCTACACCTGCCTCTTTTCTTCAAAGTACCAGCATTGCCAATACAATCAGCCTCAATTTCATTGTGATTCAATCAATACTTTATAGTATATGGAATAATGGTACTCATAAACTATTAATTTTGCAGCAATATTACAAATCTTCTGCACGAGAACTTACAAGGTTGGTTGGATTATGCGAAGCTCCGGTGATACATAATTTGGCTGAAACAATTTCAGGATCAACAACTATCAGGAGCTTTGATGAAGAATCAAGATTCAGAGAGACAAACATGAAACTGATCAACTCATATTTTCGACCAGTATTCCATGCTGCTGGTGCTATGGAATGGCTTAGCTTCCGCCTAGATATGTTATCTTCTATTGCATTTGCTTTCTCTTTGGTTTTCTTAGTTTCTATTCCACCAGGAGTTATTGATCCAGGTACGTCAGTTGCAGATTTGTAGTTTTATTAATTATCAATATATGTTGATAAAAAAATGGTGATGAAATATGGGAAAATTCTTTTTTTGTTTTATATTTAGTCATTGCTGGCTTGGCTGTCATGTATGGATTCCAACTGAATACGCTGCAATTCTGGGCAATATGGAATCTGTGTAATCTGGAGAGCAAAATTATATCAGTTGAGAGAATACTTCAGTATTCTAGCATCCCCAGTGAGCCTTCTCTTGTGATTGAAACAAATCGTCCAGCCCATTCCTGGCCATCACATGGAGAAATTGATATTCACGATCTGCAGGTAACTCAATTACATTGTTTC